GGAAAATATTCAAGGTTAACCCCAATGGGTTTTTCCTGAGCAAGAGAAAGAAAATACAATAGAAAATAAACATATAGACATGTCTCAGTTCGCTAGTCTAAAAATGGTTATGACGGGAGCCCAGCCTGAAAGCTCCATCAGCTGCTTCACCTCAACTTTTTGCCCTTTTCCCAACATGCACATATTTATAACCTGGGTTTCCCAAACAGATTACTCTGTATTTCCGCCATCTGGTTTATGGATTTTTTTTTTTTTTAATGTGCTACAGGCTGCCAAACGGTAAAGCTAGTAGGGTTCTTGTTTAAGGGAAAGCAACTCTGGCAGAGTGTTGTAAAATAACAGCACATTAGCTACTTGGAAGCGGTAGCGCTGCTCCACAGACTTCAAGAATGCTGGAAGACTTTGAGAAAGGCTAAATGTGAAGGATGCAACCAGACTGCTCCGTTAAGTTCAGGCAGAAAATTGAAATGTTGCCATTCATAAGTATGGGAGAATTCCACCCTTGCTCAAAAAAAAAAAAAAAAAAAAGAGGAAAAGTTGAAGCATTGTATTAATTTTGACTTCTTTTTTTATAAGTCTCCTCCATAGAAAAATGGCATGATTTCATCCGTGCAGAGAGGTGACTATTGTGCCTTAGCTCCTTCCATTTCTATAAGCAAAGGAAATCAAGGCAGTGCTACAGCAGGCATTGCTCATTCAGTGGAAGAAAGGGCCATTAATGTTTGTGTCCCAGCAACATTGCTAAGTGAATCCTGCTCCACTGTTCAGCTCCATTATAAATGTCAGAGAAACGTTCGACAGGAGCTGCCAGTCAGAATGTTGAGAATGTCCTCAAGACACGTCTTAAAAGAAACACGTCTGTCTGTTAAAAAAAAAATCATAATTCAAGATATGATTAAAAGCATTCTACAGTCAAATCATAAAACAAGGAACAGAAAGACAGGAGGTAGAAAATTTGGGCAGTGTTCCTATCTACCTCACCCTGATTCACACATTTCAACTAATGCAACTTGTAATGGTCAGAATTCTTGACTAGGATGTTTTAGTTTGTTCTAATCAGCTTCTGGTTATTTCATGTGATTTTCATTTGATATTCTAGGTAATTTGAGGGATGAGGATGAGGTAGAATATTCTTTTTCTAGCTTTTTACATTAATCTCTCCAGGTGTCTTTATCTATATCCTTATGCTGATGGATTAAAGAGAACAGTGTATAAAGCAATCATCAAGGTGTGCATTTCCTACTTTGCTGGAGAGTTCTGCTCTGTTGTTGGCAGAAACAGGGTTCATTTAGCAATTAGCTTTGAATCATTCACTGAGACATATATTGTACATTTTGTGACTGCTCTGTTCAAAGATTTAGCTGTATCTGTTTTATTTAGGGCTGTTACATATTAATATGTGTTGGGTTTAGACATTTTTTGAATACTCAGATGGATTCATTCATTCACTCATCTCTTCATTCATCTGTTTCTTAACACAAATATCAGATATAAAATCTCTGCCCTAAAGATATTCATAGTGCTAGGGAAATTTCTGAGTGTTTCTAAAATGTTGAACACAGTACACATAGTCTCTCATTTACTCCCCACTTCTTAGACTATAGGAATTATTTTTGAAGGGATACTGGGGATTGAACTCAGGGGCACTCACCCGCTGAGTCACATCCCCAGCTCTATTTTGTATTTTATTTAGAGACAGGGTTTCAGTGAGTTGTTGATTACCTCACTTTTGCTGAGGCTGGCTTTGAACTTTCAATCCTCCTACCTCAGCCTCCTGAGTCACTGGGATTACGGGCATGTGCTACCGTGCCTGGCCTAACTATAGGAATTTTTATCTTCACTTTACAAATGCAGAAATTGAGATTCAGAGATGTGATTTTCCCCATTGTGATACTGGTGTTAAGTGACAGCCTGATTTGAACTCAGTTTTCTCTGATGTAAAAATCCATGCCATTTCCACTGCTACATCAAGCTTACTCCTAGAAATATTGAGAATATGGTAATAAAATGATGATGATAGAACAGGGTTCCTAAATTTCACAACCTTAAGAGTGTGCTCTTCTCAGCATACTCTTAATTTGTTAACTCCATAAGATAGAAATCTGGGAAGCCTCTGTTCCATAAAGGAGAGGACTTGTACTATTTAAAAGAAATTTCCAACAGTTAGCAACCCTTTGACAACATCTTTACTGACAGTTGGAGATTGTGCTGACATTAGTTTTATGGTATGAAATCTACCGTCATGGGATCCATCATGTCACTGCCATCTGCACAAATTTGGAGAGCAAAGTGAAGATGAGAGGGAGATGGCCAAATTAAACTCTCTGCTAGTGGCCAGTCATGGTGCAGGTGAGGTGTGCAGAGAATGAAACATTTTAAAGGATTCTCCTTATCCTCCTTTCCTCAGGCTAGATCAGTGGAAGCCCCCCATTCACTAGAAAGAAATTTAGCAGGCAAAAAAACAAAAGGAAGAGAGGAGATAGAGTTGTAAGTGGACAAATATGATAGGAAAACTGATGGAAAATGTTTTCTATTCACTCAGAAAAGGTGGTATAGAAGGAAGCTCTCAACCATTATTGTCTAGAATATTATTGCATATTTATTCAATGAACCTAAAATCTTGCATGGGAGTAATTTTCTCCCTAACATGAATGACATAGGCAAAAAAATTACATAAAATACAGAGGAATTCCAGTGAGTTAATGTGGTAAACCAGCATGGCTTCCAGGGTGATTGGAAGCAGTATTCAAATACAGTTCCATGATGTCCTGACATCAACACTTTGGGCCTATAATTTATTCTGGTTTAGTCCTCAATGGAGTCCCTTGGTGAGTAGTTCAAATTCCTGGTTGGGCCTGTAATAACAGGGTAAAATCTTTTCTTTAAAAGATTTATTAATTATTAATAAATAAATTATTAATCTTTTCTGAAAAACTTTTTCACTCACTTTCAGACATGGAACCTAAATTGGACCTCCATCATATTGAGGAAGCGTAAAGTGATTTAAGCAGAGAATTTGTGAGAATTTTTTAAAACAGAAAATTAGTAAACATTCCACATATGCTTGCAGAGAGAAAGTGATAGAAATTATTTTTTAGGCATAGTCCATAAAAAGCTCCCTCAAATGCTACTTCAAACACTTCTGGGTGATTAGGAGAGAAAAGGCCACAAAGACTTTGGGTAACTTGTGTTGAAGATGCCGTCTCCATCTGCCCAGCATCTCAGGTGGAGAAACACCACCCCCATCAACAAGGGACATTACCTCTGTTATGTGAACAAGAAATAATATCCTGCTGTGTTTCAGAAGTTCAATGTTTCAAGTGATATTTATTTCAACAACCGTACTTCTAAGCTGCTAAAGACAATTTTATGTTAAATTTTGGGAAAAAGAGCTTATATAGGAAAATACCCATGTAATATACAAATACATCTGATATATAAAATAAACAATTAAAAGCTAAAACTCCTAGTCTAATAGCCTTTAACATTTTTTTTTTAAATTGTGTCTGGACTTGTTTAAAGGAAGCCTAGCAAGAGAGGAGAGGGATGGGTGCATATACTTCCCTAGATTCCCATAGCACCACAATTCCATGTTCCCATGACAGTTGGGGCCATTGCATGAATTGTTTTGATTTCTGAAAGAGAACTGGAAGATTTATGCCTTTCCTGTTGGGGGAAATTCTCCTGATTTATGACTGCCATATTTGTAGGTATAAATCATACTGAAGTATATTAAATATTTTGTTTTTTAATTTTGGTTGAGCGTGGTGCTGGTCATCCAAATTAATGACTGTTCGCTGGTGGCATAAATTCTGACAGGCATTTGTAGTCGGTGTGCACTATTTGAATGGTAGGAGCAGATTGATGGTTTCTGTGTCCCATGCGAGAGGCAGGCAGTCCAGCAACTGCTTGGTGCACTCACTCTACGACCATAAACTTGAGTTGTTATGATTGTTGGTAACAGTTGTACTTTAAGTCATGAAGAAGAGTTATTTTAAAATGATGATCCATGTTGTTCCCTAATCACTATTTTTAAAGGCCTTAAAGCTTCTACAGTGTCATTGTTAGACCAACGCATGCCCACGTAACTGATGGAAGTGCTTCATGCCACATTAATAACTATCTGCATAACCACTCTAGTAAATTCATTTATTATTTGAATATCTTTGTTGTCATATAGATAAAAATAATTGTTTACTTTCCTTTCTGAAAAATATTACTCCAAGGTTGCCATTATATATATATATATAAATAATTTTATTTCAAATGCGCAAGAAACCTTTTGTAGTCAATCATTTTAAATTAAAATACTTTTCATTGATCAGCAGATTATACTTTGCTCACTAGAAAATGTTAAGTACCAGAAGTGTGGGAAAGAGAGAAGAGGTATGTGATATGGTTTCTGCAGTCTTATGAGAAACATGATAAAATATGTTTTAACATTTCATCATTTTAACATGATGAAGAAACATTTAAAAACAGAAGCAACATTTTATATTAGATTTACTCAAGAGGACCTCAGGTTGAATTATGTTCTTAACACTTTCTACCTGTTTAATATGGAGTATGTCACTTAGCCCATGGAAGTTCACTTTTCTCTTATTAAAAATAATTCTGACACGACTCCCCTGCCAAGACTGTGTGTCAGGTGAAGGAAGTGATCATCTGGCATGATATCAACAGCTGTTCTGGGAGAACTAGAAAATGGCTCCCAGTTACCACTCAACTGAATCAGCAGTGGGCAAGAGTACTTCCTGGAAAGGAAAGACCTAAGAGGCAGCAGGTTATCAAGGAAAAAAATCGCAAGCAACCAGAGATCAAGATTCTTAACTCTCAAGAGTGAGGACCACACAGGCCTCAGTAGAATTATGAAATCTCCAAGAGGATTCTCTAGTACATTCTGTGACTGCTGGAAGTTGCCATGGTTTGGATCTAGAATGTTCCCCCAAGGCACCAAAGGCTTGACCCTCAGTCACTGTCACTATTAGGAGGTAGTGGAACCTTTAGGAGGTAGGGCCTAGTGTAAGGAGATCAATACAAAGTCACATCCTTGAAGGCTATATTGGGACCCCAGGCCTCCTCTTCTCTCTTTGCTTCCTGACCATCATGAGGTGAGCAACTTTCTCTGCCTTATGTTCCCTGACATGTTGTGCTGCCTTACCACAAGCCAGAAGCAATGAAGCCAATCAACCATGGACTGAAACTTCCAAAACCATGAGCCAAAATAAATTTTGTTAATTTGTTTATAAGTGAATTTATCTCAAGTATTTTCTAGAGTAATAAAAAGCTAACACAGAAGCGATGGCCCAAGAACAAGAGAAATATTCAGCTCAAATTTATTAAGAGAACACTATGGCCCCTCTGCCCTTTGTGGCTAGTTCTGACGAATTGAGTTATAGGATTGCGAGGCTTTAATAATGTATTTATTATTAACTGATTTACTTGTTTATTGTCTCTCTCCCTTACTAAAATGTAAACTTTGTGAGAACAGGAACTTTTGTTTTTTCATTAATAAATTTCTAGTGCTGAGATTTAGAACAGTAGAGTCACTTGATATAAATTAGAATAAATTACATAAATTATTGCATACCCACCATGGGCAAATCATAGTGTTTGGTCCTGAGACACCATCAAAGATGATGGTGTCAAGGGCCCCTGTCAAGAGATGGGCTGTTTTGATTCTATTAGATGCTTTTTCTCCTGATTTAGGGATGGGCTGAATTAAGGGAATTTGGGCCAATAAAATATGAGTCATTCTTCTAGCAGTTTTGAGAAAGAAAATTCTGGGCCCTTAAGAGAAACCCAGAGTGGGAGAGAGAAGGTGGCAGAGTGACGTTAGGCAGTGACTCCCAATACCTTCAAAGCCCAGAAAGGAGGCAGAGAAGGAACAGCTGACCACAGAGCTGGGTGACAGAATCTATGTTCTAAGACTCAATATTGGACAGTCTGAGACTTGGACAGAATTGAAGTTTGGTTACTGGAGCAAGAAAAAAAAAAAAAGAAAAGAGTTTCTTAATACTGAATATGGATGAGGGTGGGGTGAGGGGGAAAGGGCAACAGAGAGAGAAAGAGGTAAAGCACAAAAGCTCACTACCTGAGCAACCGCTGGAAAGAAAGGCAGATCAAATTAAAATGTGGCAGGAGCAGCAGGGTCAGCAGAGAAGATCAAGCAGTTTAGCCAAAATTTTGGACTGAAAGCCATGCTGGCTATGGCAGCAATCTTGTGGAGTCCTGAGACCTCATAAATGATTCCCGTGAGGCGCAGTGACAGAGTTGTCTCTGTTCTGAGCATGGGCAGGGAATGATGCCCAATGTTCACAACCTCAGAGAGTGAAGTTCAAACCCAGGTAGACTGGCTGAATCTCTTTCCTTGTTGCAGGGACGGTGCCCCAGTGATTGGTCAAGGGGGACACTTGGGCACCACAGATCACCCATGAGAGCCTACAACCATAGGTCCTTGGCTTGTACACAGCCACCAAGTTCTGTGCCATTTTGAAGAGGGCCCTGTGGAGGGACGTTGGTATATGGTGATACACTGTAGTCACAGCAATGGCTCTAGGCCCTGCATCCTGGGCTCCTGCAAATGGAAACAAAAAGAAAGCATAGGTATCTACCTTCACAGCAGGAAAAGTAGACTTTAAGCCAAAATTAATTAAGAGATGAAGAAGGTCCCTTCATACTGGTCAAGAGAAGCATCCAACAATAAGATATAATGATTGTAAATATTTATGCCCCACCTAATGGCTTCTGTGAACATAAAACAAATGCTTATTAATATAAAAAGTCAAGTAGATCACAATATGATAATACTGGGTGATTTCAACCCACCTTTCTCACCATTAGATAGGTTATTCAGAAATGAACTAAATAGTCTTTAGAACTAAAAAAAAATATTATTAGTAAAATGAAACTAAAAGACAGCCATAGAATATTTCATTCACCAACAACAGAAGTCATTTTCTTCTCAGTGGCTCAAGGAATCATCTCTAAAATAGACCATATTTTAAGACACATACCAAGTTTTAACAAATACAAAAGAGTTAATTCTTTGCATTCTCTAAGATCCTAATGAAATAAAAGTAGAAATCAATAACAAGATAAAAAGAAATATTTTTTAATACCTGGAGATTAAATAGTATATTTTTGAATGGGAAATGGAACATAGAAAAAAATGAGGAAAAAAAATATATATATATATTTGGTACCAGGTATTGAACCCAGGGATGCTTGGCCCTATCTCTAGCCTTTTTTAAAAAAATATTTTATTTAGAGATAGGGTCTCACTGAGTTACTTAGGGCCTTGCTAAGTTGCTAAGCCTGGCTTTGAACTCATGATCCTTCTGCCTCAGCTTTCCAAACTACTGAGATTATAGGTATGTGACACTCCACTTCCTGGGAATATAAAATTCTTAGAAATCAGAATAGGGATATGACATATTAAAACTTCTGAGACAGTATGAACACAATTCTAAGAGGAAAGTTCATAGCATTGAATGACAATATTAGAAAAAATAGAAAGAACAACTCCCGCCCCCAAATTTAATGTTATACCTCAAGGCTCTAGAAAGAGAAGAAAAAACTCATTCCCAAACCAGTAGAAGACAGGAAACAATTTAGATAAGAGCCAAAACTAATAAAATTGGAAATTTAAAAAATTCAAAAGATAAAAGAGGGACAAAATTGGTAAACTCTTAGCCAAACTAACCAAAAGAAAAATAATATATTATATATTCTGGATATTAATTCCCTTTCTGGGGTGCAAGTGGCAAAACTTCTTTCACTCTTTAAGCTTCTCTTTACTTTCTTGTTCCCTTTGCTGTGCAAAGCTTTTTAATTTGATGCTGTTCTACTCGATGATTATTGATTTTATTTCTTGTTTTTCAGGAGTCTTGTTAAGGAAGTCTGCACCTGTGCTATTGCACTGGGTCATTGGACCTACATTTCTTCTAGCGGTTGAAGAGTTTCTGGTCTAATTCTTAAGTCTTTGGTTTACTTTGAGTTAACTTGTGAAGAGTGAAAGACAGGGATCAAGTTTCATTCTTTTATATATGGATATTCAATTTTTCTGGCACCATTTGTGAAATGTCTATCTTTTCTTCAGTGTATATTTTTGGCACCTTTGTTGAATATCTGATGACTTTATTTGTGCGGCTTTGTCTCTGTGTTTTCTATTCTATTCCATTGCTCTGCATGTGTGTCTTGCTGCTGATACCTTGTTGCTTTTGTTCTAGCAGCACTGTAGGACACTTTGAGGTCCAGTATTGTGATATCTCCAGCATTGCTCTTCTTGCTCCGTAAGCTTTGGCTAGTCTGGGTCTTTTCTTCTTCCAAATGAAGTGTAGAGCTATTTTTTTTCTAATTCTGTGAAGAATGTAATTGGAATTTTGATGGGGATCACACTGAAACTGTATAATGCTTTTGCTAGTATGACCAGTTTGATAATATTAACTCTGCTTATCCAAGAGCCTGGGTAGTCTTTGCATCTTCTAAGGGCTTCTCCAATTTCTTTCTTCAACATTCTGTAGTTTCATTGTAGAGGTTTTTCACAATCTTGCTTAGATTTATTCCTAATTCTTTTGTGTTGTTGTTGTTATTGTGAATGGGAAAGTTTTTCTAATTTCATTTTCAGCAGATTCATTCTTGAATATAGTAAAGTGAATGATTTTTGTATGTTTATCTTGTATCTTGCTACTTTGCTAAATTTGTTATCAATTCCACAACTCTTCTGGTGGATATTTTGTAATGGTCTTCTAAATATAGGATCATGTCATTGGCAAAAAGAGATAATTTAACTTCTTACTTTTCTATTTGTATCCATTTAATTTCTTCTTCTTGCCTGATTGCCCTGGGTATACTTTCAAGGACTATGTTGAATAGGAGTGGTAAGAGTGGGCACTCTTGTCTGGTTACTGTTTCAGTTTTTCTCCATTTATATGATGGTTTGTCATACATATCTTTCCAATGTTAACATAAATACATTCTTTCTCTAGAATCTCAAGTTTTAAACATGAATGGGTGTTGGACTTTATCAAATGCCTTTTTTGCATTTGAGATAACTATGTGATTCTTGCACTTACTTTATTTGTGTAGCGAATTGCATTTATTTATTTAGCATTGCTGAATCAATGACCTTGTATCCCTGGCATGAAACCCACTTGATTATCATGTACCAATGTGTTTTTATTTAGAATTTTTGCACTTATGTTCTTCAGGGATATTGATTTGAAGTTTCCTTGAGGTCTCACTATCTGGTTTTGATATCAGGGTGTTACTGTCTTCATATTATGGAGTGTCCCATTCTTTTCTATTTCTTGGAATTTAATTTGAGGAGATCTGACATTAGCTTTCCTTTAAAGGTCTGATAGAATTTGGCTGAGAACTCATCTGGTCTGGGCTTTTCTTTGTTGGAAGGCTTTTAATAGTTGCTTCTATTCCATTGCTTGATATTGATTTAAGTATTGTTTTAGTTAGCTATGTCACTGCTATGACTCAAAGACCCAACCAGCACAACTCTATGGGAGGAAAAGTTTATTTGAGGGCTCACGGTTTCAGTGGTCTTAGTCCATGGAAGGCTGCCTCCATTCCTCAGGGCTCCAGGAGGGGTCAAACATCATGGCAGGAGAGGGTAGCAGAGGGAAGCAGCTCACATCATGGTGATCAGAAAGCAGAGAGACTCCACTTGCCAGATACAAATATATACCCAAAGCCATGCCCTAATTCCCATCTCCTTCATCCACACCTTACCATTTCAGTTACCACTCAGCTAATCCCTATCATATGATTAAATCACTGATTGGGTTAAGACTCTTATAACCCAGTCATTTCTTGGGAATAAATTGGTAAAAATTATATTCCATGCTTATTATATGAAAATGAAACCCAATATGATGTATAACTATAATGCACTAATTTTAAAAAAAAAGAAAAATGTAGAAAAATGTCTCAGTCTGTCTGTTTGTCTGTCTCTCTCCTTTACCCCATCTTAACCTTCAGTGGCAGTGTTCATCTTGAGATCACCAGTCAAAATCAGAACAAGTAGCGAACACAGTTGAGGGAATAGAAGAGAAAAGGAGGCAGAAGTCATGTCCTTCAATGGGTTTCCAGTTATGTGGGCCCTTGGAAGACCCTACTGTTTACACTACTAGCGGCTGGTTTGTGTTCTGCCGTCAAAACATCACACCTCCTAAAATTCCTCCCAGAGAGTTGAATAAAAAGTGTATATGGTCACAAGTTTCTACTGAAGCAGGCATTATCTTTAGTGATTCCTATTGGTGCACACCTGCAATTCTAGCTACTCAGAGGCTGAGGCAGGAGGATTACAAGATCAAGGTCAGTTACTCAAACTCAGTGAGACCTTATATCAAAGAAAAAAATAAAAAAGGGCTTTGGGTGTCACACAGTTGTAGAATGCCCCTCGGTCTAATTCCCAGTAACGAGGAACAAAATAAGGAGGCACTATACAGTGCTTCCCCGCACAGAGGAAGACAGAACAAAACCCGGGTTGATCGGATGAAGAAAAAAACCCAAAACTACATCTTTCTGTTTTTGTTATGAAAGCTAAGTAAAAACCAATATATAGAAAAGAAACTTGAAATGTCATATCAACTCAAAGTGAATCAAAGACCTGGAATCACAAAACCTAGGGTAAACACTACAACATACAGATTCAGATGACTTCCTTTAATAAGACTCCTAAAGCTCAAGAAATGACACCAAGAATAAATAAGTGGGATGTCATCAAACTAAAAACCTTCTGTATAGCAAAGGAAACAAGAGAGAGCCTACAGAATGGGAGAAAATCTTTGCCAACTACTTTCCCAACAGGAGATTAATGTTCAGAATTCATAAGGAACACCAAAAAATAAATAAGCAACCCAATAAATAATAGGCAGATGAACTAAACAGACGTTTTTCAAAGAAGAAATACAAATGCCAGCAAATGTATGAAAAAAAATGTTCAACATCCATAGGAATCAGGAAAATGCAAATCAAAACTACACTGAGATTTCATCTCACTTTAGGTAAAATGTCAGTCATCAAGAATACAAATAACAATAAATGCTGGCAAGGAAGTGAGGGAAAGGTACTTTTGCTTTGTTGGAGGGACTGCAAAAGAGTACAACAAATATGCAAATCAGTATGGAGATTACTCAAAAGACTAGGAATGGAACCACCATATGACCTAGCCATCCCACTCTTTGTTACTTATCCAAAAGAATTAAAATCAACACACTCTGGTAATACACGCATACAGATATTTATAGCAGTACAACTAATAATAGCTGAGTTATGGAACCATTCTAGATGCTCAGTGATAGATTAATAGATATAGCTCTGTATCTATCTTCACATGCACTCACATATATAATATATATGTAAACACACACACCACATAATGGAATTTTATACAACCATACAAAATGAAATTATGTCATTTGCTAGTTAAAAAAAAATAGATGGAACTAGGGAATATCATCTAAGTGAAATAAGCCAGATTCTGAAAGTCAAATGTCAAATGTTTTTTCTAACATATGAATCTAGAGAGAAAAAAAGAAATAAGAAAAAAAAAGAATCTCATGAAAATAGAAGAGAGACCAGTAGAGCAGAGAAAGGGGATAGAGAAGAAGAGAGAGTGGAGGACAATGGGAAGTACTGGGGAATGAAAGCTACCAAATTCTGCCATGCCCATGTATGAATATACCACAATGAATCCCAATCTTATGGGTAATTATAATGCACTATTATAAAACGTAAATGGAGAAAGAGGTCCAGGAGGAGGGAGGAGAGGTAGGAAAAGAGAGGTTTTGGAGAATAAGATTGATCATATTAGTAATTTGCATGTATGAATATGGCACAATGAATCCCATATTATGTAAAAGTATAATGCACCAATAAAAGTCATAAAAACCAAATCTTTTGTATAGAAAAGGAAATTTCAATGTCTTATACCCTGTGAGATTCTAAGTAAACTTGTGCACATGAGAGCATGGATATTTTTACAGACGCCCATGTATTAATTTTATACTTAAGAGGTATTGTGATGGTTAGTGAAATAAGCTGTCTTGAGCATCTAGCCACATGCCCTTGGTTTTCTTGATTTATGGTCTATGTCATGGCTCTTCCACGCACAGGTAGAAAGGGGCTCAAGAAGATGACATTAAAATGAATCACATCTGGTTCTATTTATAAGCATAGCTCAAACATTTATGAGGAGGGAATTTAAACTATTGGCTGTTGGAAAGTATGTAATATTTAAATAATATACATGCCACTCCCACCTCCTACCCTCACCCAGCACTCTCTAGATGAATTTCCTGTTTATCATCTTGGTAGCATTTCTTTTCATAAGATACTATTTATTTTAGTTATTATTATTAGGTCTCCCTACTAACTTGCAAGCTCCATAAAGGCAAGAACTTTGATTGTCTGGTTCCCTGCTAAACTTCAGAACGCAGGAAAGTGTTTGATATACAGTCGCTACACAAAAATGGATGGATTTTTTATTTGTACAAGTGTAAAACGATCAAGAACTTTTATAAGCCCAGTTTGAAAATTCAAAGCTTAAAAAAGGCATCTTCTCTAGTGTCTTCTTTTAGCAGTTCAACAATTTTTGTATGTGTTTGTGCTGTTGAGGATTGAACCCAGGATCTTGAGCACGCTAAGCGAATGCTGTACCACTGAGCCGCATCCTTTAACAATTAATTTTTAAGCATAAGACTTCTTTTAAAACTTGGACTCACTCTGAAAACATATCTCAGTCAGGGAAGAGTATATTTTAAAATATGTAGATTCATCCAACAGTAAGCCAAAAGAGAATGCAGAGACGTTTTGGGGAGTATTGACTTATACATCTTAAAATTATAAAGACATATTGTTTTTATATGCACTTGTAACTATAAATGAGCCATCCTACATTGAAGGTAGGTCACATATAATTAGTTTTGAAAGCAATGCGATAAAAAAGTAGTCAATGTTTTCACACTTTTTCCTGAGAGAAATACAAAACAGAAATGTTCGATTTTCAGTCTGAAGAGCCAGTACCGGAGAGTTTGCACTAGTTTTTTTTTTGTTTTGTTTTGTTTTGTTTTGTTTTCCCGGCTTCTCTGGATGAACCCCTCTTTATTTGGGAAGGTTTTTTTTCCCTTGTTGGGCTACAGCCACTTCTTTGGTTTCCTACTTCTCTGATTTCCCCTACCAGATCCTTTTCCTCTTAAGTGAGAAGAGGCTGTGGTCCAGTGGTCTGCAGAAAATCAGCAGGTGTTGAACAAGGGCAGCATCCACAGATTCCTCCAGCCCATTAGTTTCCTGAGAAAGCCAAGTATCCAGTTTCCTTCAATAAATCCTATCGCTCCTTGCTCCAGGAGATGCTCCTATGTAAAACTCACTGCCTCAGGTCTCACAATCAAAGGGGACCTGTTAAAGAGCCATGGAAGGGCTTTCCCAAGAGGTGGCTGGAGTGCCATCTTGCCTCCCAGAAGCAGGTAGTCAACCCAGAGGGTTATTCCCTGAAGGTCAGGATTTTATATTATGAATCTTCTAGCAGATGTGATAAGCAGTAAATTGCAGATCTATCACATTTTTCCTTCTGGAATGTGTGTGTGTGTGTGTGTGTGTGTGTGTGTGTGTAATCAGTAGAATGCTGCTTCTCTGTGATTTATGGCCCACTTTTGACCATCTCTTATCAGGTTCCCACAAGCCCTTTTCTGATGCAACTCATGTCTGAATGACAATAGACAAACCAGTGCCATTATACACCAAAATCTCCCTCTGCATTCTAGACACCAAGATTACATCTGGGGTATTGATTTATTGCTGCCTCCCCCCCCCACCACCCCACCACCACAGGGACCAGTTTGTTCTGCCTGAACAAGACCGACTCTTAGTAAACAGAGCCAACAACTCTATATGAACTTGTTAAAGAAATCATCATCGGCTTCCACCTTTCTAACAATCTGGGCATACATAAAGAACTATGTGTGCTTAAATAGGTAGACTGTTTATTTGTCTCTGCTTGTCTCTTCTTTCAGTATGTAAAATAAGATAAAACAGGCCTTGGGAGGAGGAAGGGAATCTGCAGTTTCTCAGATGTTGAAACACAATGTGGTGCTTTTTATGAACCACACTGAAATGATTACAAATCTCTGCTTTGGTGTGTATTTCTGAAACACCTACTGTATCTGTAGCAATGAGGTTTTATGACAGCTTTAACAGTTTCTGCAAAATTTATATGTTCTACCAGTAGATCATTTTGGGGAGCGATATAAATTTTACAGCACATCAGAGTTTTATATCACCTACAAACGCCTGATGTAGGATTCGCATTAAGTAGGCCCCACATCCACTCACAGTTTCCTATTCTTCAGGGTATTTATGTTTGCCAGGCAAAAGGGCCCTTCACCACTTTTCTCTTTACAAATGATCATTCCTCCTCCCTCGTTACCTTTCAGTTTAACATCATTCGGTCTGACTATTTGTCTACCGGAGATCAGCCACGCACGCCTCAATTTACATAGCACACAATCTGCACAGTCCCGCTCTCTAACTCCCACATGTGGGGAGGGTGGTCTTTCTGGAGTCACCAAGAACCTGAGTGAGCTAAATGAAAATCAAAAAAAGGGATTTTTTTTTTTTAATGGATGGATCTTGTTTTCTGAACTCTCAATTGGTTTCTGTGGTCTGAAAAAATGGCCCTGAAACAAAATGCTCAAAAATAAAACTAACTGCCTTAAGACATGGGGGCAAGGCTTTGCTAAGTCTGTGGGAAAATTCTGGGAACCTGATTACAAAGAGTTAAATACACTGAAATTAGGAACAGAATAGGCTAATTCAGAGTCAAGGGTGTAGCGGACTCTTCCTTCCTTGAGGATCTGATCAGAAACCTATTTTTTTGAGGCAAAAGATAACGAATGCTGGCAAAGATTTGGAGAAAGGAAAGCTCATACTCCATTGGTGATAATGTAGACAGAAAATAGGAGGAGGGTCAACAGAAAGCAAAAAGAAAGAAAGAAAAAGCCCACCATATTACAGATATAAACTCAGCTATAGATACAAACTCAAAAGAATCCAGATATGGAATCGAACTAAGTGTTCATCGGTAGATGAATGGAAAATGAAAATATATGATGTTTTCATACCATGGAATATTTCTCAGCCATAAAAACAAATGAAATCCTGTCATTTGTGATAACATGGCAGAACCTGGTAGACATAATATTCACAGAAAATAA